TAACAACTACTCTGAAAATTTCACTTTATATATATATGTATATATAGGTTCTTTAACTTTGTATAAACAGTTTGGTGATCCACTTGAGGAGTGGTTGTTTTGTTTGTCTCGGTTCTCAGGGGTATAATCAAGCCGAGCTGTTAGTAGTAATCATATTGTAACCCGGTTTGAACGGACTTGTCGATTAATTAATGGAATTCCTTACAAAATCAGTAAAAAAAACAACAACACTGTGTTTATCCAAAAAGGAGTTATAAGTGTATGGATTTGTAGGTAAATCGATTGGATAGAAACCAATCTGAACGCGCTAACTAAAAACTTAACTAAATCTCTCCTAATTTCCAAATCGCTAATTCCATATCTATGAAGCTGTACACACATTCCTGTTTACAAAAATACAAGAGAAAATATTGCATAAATAAGACGATACTGCTAACTAAAATACTGTAATAGTTCCTCCGTAGAAAGGCTATCAACTATGGTATCTCAGAAGCACGCAAGACTCGTCCGCACGCTGCCCACAATAGTCTTGTTGTATTTACATCGCAAAAGAAAGTTAGCAGATCAATATCTTTTACAAGCGTAAATGAGGGGTGCCAGCGCCACTAGACGAAAACCTGTTGCCGTAGAGCCACGAGCGCCACGAGGGGCCAAAAGAGCCACAAGAGGATGTGGTCAGTGAGATGACACAGCTACGGCTTCGTTCATCACAACAGGTGAGCGTTCAAGGTGTCATCAAATGAACGGAATGTGAACGAGTTTTACTTCAGTAGGCCGAGTCGGTCACCACGTTCACTACGCCAGATGAATGAACCGTTCATCGCAAGAGACTGTTTTCAATGACCTCTGTAATGGCCTTGACCGCTGACACCTGTCATTAATGTGTGCTGCCACTATGCCGTCACAAAGTGTGGAGCTGGCAAGCACCAGTAAGCAGCCTCTTGCCGGCAACTCCTCCTTGGAACCCCGAAGATGGCAACGCCAGTGGTCTAAGATCAAATTTATTACAAAATATTTCAAATACGGTTTTATTAGCGGCAACAAGGAGAGAGAGAGAGAGAGAGAGAGAGAGAGGGAGGGAGAGGGAGAGAGGGAGAGAGAGAGAGGGAGAGGGAGAGAGAGAGAGAGAGAGAATGAAACAGCTTTCAAAGTGACAAATTGAATGCACAGAATGAGGCACACAATTCTGAAATTAGAAAGATCGTGAATAAGACTGATGAGACTGATGATGAGAAACAGTATTAAAAAACATATGACCACGCTGATCTTTGGAGTTAATGGAATTGGATCGGGAAATCGGGTCAAGAAACGGGGGCTATGATACTGGGGTTATAAAACTGCAATTATGGTATTAGGAAACTGTTACAAAATTGGGCCATGAAATTGGGATAGAGAAAAGTATACTGGAAGAGGTGAGGAGCAGTTTGTGTGAGGCTCGCGGCAGGGTTGGGCGCTGCATACCTACAGAAAATCATTTAAATATTTACCAAAATATGTATTTAATATTCACTAACTTAGGACGCCTCAGTCGTGATCTAGACTCAATAGGATTGGTTTAGCGGGAAAACCTAATCCTACTTGTTTACGTGCCTTGTTTCCTTCGGATTGGGTGCAACATCACAGCTGCCGACCAATCAACGGAACGCTGCGATTGAGACAAACGTCACAACTGGCGACCAATCAACGTTACGATTGAGGCCAACGTCACAGCCGCCGACCAATCAACATGCGATCGGGATGGAACATCAACGTCACCAATCAACGAACGTTTCCAAAAAGACAAAATCAAAGGAGAAAAACACAAGTATATGGTGACCATGGAAAAGTGACTCAAGTCTGCCAAGAATACACAGAAGATGTTTACAAATTATCCTATGTCATTACAGTGTTATATTCACCCACCTTACTGCATAAATTAACAACAGCGAACTAAGAGCCGTGAACAGGTGCTGTATTCGGTAAATATTTCAACTGTATACACTAGATATTATAATAATAATAATATATATATATTCACCGTCCATAACGTGTTCATAGCTCTTATATTTTTTTTTTTGACTTAAATCTATGTTTACAGTGTCAGAAAATTTACAATACATAAGAATACAGGTTTGTGAGGCGTAGCTACTAGCCTCTCTTTAAGGTGGTCAACTGACTCTACCAAGGCTGCTAGCCACCAGAGGCTAGTAGCTCCCACCGTCACGCATAGTCTTATAAGCACGACCACCTCGGAACCCTCAATAAGGGTGGGGGGTGGGGGGGGTTAGGAGGGGGGTTAGTACGGTAGGTGGTCGTTATAAGGGGGTGGGGGTGGGGGGGGGCGGGAGGTCAGACGCACGTGTGTTGTAATTCTTTCATAAAAGGGGTCAGAGGATGGGGGGGGGGGAAGGGGGAGGGGGGCTGCCAAAACTTTGTATTTCCGTTAACAAGATGAAAAAATAATCTACATTTATGAGACGTACAATAAACCTTTTATCTGTTTTTAAATCGGCCATCAGTGTAACAAGAGCACATACACTGACATTTGCATCCTGAAGTATATCTTCTACCTAACAAAAACCTACTCAAACATAATTGTTTCTTTGGAAACTCTTTACCGATTTCTAATGACCAATGATCTGCCTATATTTTCACTAGTTAAAGATTCTATTTACATCATCTGACATTGTGTCTATGGAGACAATGGGGTCTTTTAGCTACAAGTAAAATACAAAGTCTTAACTAAAATAATAATAACAGTTGCATAGAAATTTGTTTTTTTAACGTTAGACAGCAGACTTGCAAACTTTCCGAAAAGTTTTAAATAATAAAAGAGTAAAAACACAGTCTATACACTATATCATAAAGTTCTAATTATACCAGTCGGCAGTAGCTTTGATAATAAACTCTCAAACTATCATAAAACCTTTCCAACACAACCCATGGGAGAAAGCGACGGAGCCTTGATAGTGAAATGTGGCCTAACAAATACCTAGACTTTCTTTAAATATACCCTGTAGGTGATGAGGTCACAGGCTGTGGACCCAAGGCTTCCACCGGTAATTGTTCCAGCGACGTAGCGGCGTATAGCAAAATTTCCCCTCTGAAAAAAATCAGACTCCAGTATGTGTAATGTCTGTCAAGTTTACTCTCGCGGTCCACAGCCTCTGGCGTCACCGCCCACAGGCACACACACATTGCATCCTAGGTTTAAATTATCATCATCATCATCATCATCATCATATCATCATCATCGTCAGTATCTAACGCATTACAAATAGCTTACACAGCCATATAAAATTTATCAGATGGAACGGGAATGGCTGAAAAGACTATGTCTATGCTCTACGACACTCAACACACACCATCCAACAAGGGAGAGATCACATACGGGCTAGCGAAGTGAACGCAGTTACACAAAGGAAGTCGTTTGATTTTCTGTCTTATAATACATTGTTGGGTTGTATTCTGTGGTATTTTCTACGTAGCGAATATTGGGAACTAGCCATGTATCCTCAGTATTCTTGTTCTGGACTAAAATTAGAAAAAAATGCATATTTGTATGCACATGTGTAAAAAATGCTCAGAACTAAGTTCTCGTTTGTTCTTATATATCAAGAGTTTAAAACAAGAGGAAACTCGTCCTACACATCACTAACTGCATCCACATGTCTACTTCTCTACATGAAAGACATTCACTTCTCACACCTTATCTCTGTAAGATGGGCGGCTCGAATAACCAAACGTAACGCATCACACAACAGAATCATCAAGGAAAACAGAGTTAACCAGAGCTATCCCATCGTTCCTGCTCGAAACAGGTTCGATTATATCGCTCACGTATAAATCTGGCCTAAGATGCTGCGCAGTCGCCTTGATATCTGCTGCTTTACGATGTTACAAAAATATAGTGAAATATTTTGGCATATGGGTCGCCAGTTCGCCTGAAGTGGAGTCGGGAAGAGGAGAATGAAATAGGGAAGAGGGGAATGGAATAAGGAAGAGGGGAATGGAAGAGGGAAAGCGTGTTTACATTCGTCACAAGTACCCAGATCAAGACCCCAAAGCCTCGACTAGATATAAACGCACATTCAGAGAAATTAGAAATAAGAATTTGATTAGAGAGAAGTCGAAGGTGAACTCAACTGTTCTATTTCCTCTCGCACCTTCCAAAACACTCACGGTACGGAGAGATGACGAGAGATTTTGGATGCCTCTGCCTACTAAAGGTAAGAGCCAATGAAACAAGAATGGCGCCGACTTCTTCAAGAGACTGACTGACTAAAGTGTCAACTTCAGTGTACCTCCCAAACAGCAGCCAGTCTGGGACGTGGCCAAGACCAGGGGAAAGTGTCAGTAGACAAACCAAGAGATAAAAGCCTTATGACAAAAAGACAAGTTGTTTTTGTTTTTAACTGGGACGTGGAAAAAGGCACAGTCAAATTGACTAATATTGATAAACAAAACAAAAAACTGGAGAGATGAGTGAGAGGTAGACAGAGAAGGGAAATAGACTCCGCTTCAAGAGACTGGAGGGAAGAAGTGTTTGGTTAAAGTCATATGTAATATTTACACACCAGAGCGCCAGGTCTGCCATCTTCTGTCCAATTAATAATCATAAACCCCTGGCACTTTTTTGTGTAAATATATATATATAAATTTATATTTTATATATATATATATTTATATTTATATATACATTATATATTTATATATATATTTATATTTATATATATTTATATATATATTTATATCTATATATATTTATATATATATTATATATATATATGTTTTATATATATATTTATATAGCTTTTGTATTTTCCTACACGTGAAGGAGTTTAAAAAAGATAAATAAGCAAGCACAATAACCAATAGTCGATTGAAATAACGTTTTTGTTAAAAATTTATCTACTTAACGCAGTTATACATTATTAATTAAAATTATCTTCTTAAACGTGATTATATATATATATATATATATATATATATATATATATATATATATATATATATATATATATATATATATATAAATATGTTTGAATATACATATGTTTGGATAAATAAGGAATACTTGAACAAGGATACAACATCAATGCCAGGATTATTACTGATGAAGATTAAACACGTCTGACATTTTGTCCTTATATAAGCCTATGTTTTGTATCACATTTGACTGTAAACAACTAATTTTCAAAGCGCTTTGTGGTGGTCAAGTTTGAACGGAGTGAAAAGTCGGAAAAAACAATTCGTAAGCTTACCCTGTGATGCCAGTTAATGATGAGATGTGAAGAAACCAGCCAATGTGATCCTTGAGACACTGGACAATAAGAGCGAGTCTTCGCTGGCCTAACCACAAATGCTACGACAATCCTGGCCTAGTATTTACTTCTCTCTACAACCTTTTGCTTTACCCTGTACAATAAACTTCTAATTACTTCTACTGAGGTGTAGACGTGAGTTGATCATCTACTTGTGGCGAGATCGGCTATTTTGAACTCTAAGATTGACGGCTCGTTTAAGGATTAATTTTCCATTTTCTTTGTTAAATGAGAAACACTACTGTATTTGCGTGTGTCTCCTATTCAAAATGACAAACCCCGTCACATGACGTATAAATCAATCAGAATAACATTATAACGGATGCAACACCTTTACTATATATATACACAACTTAAATGGCTAGCCACAGGTCTCTAAAAATACCAACTTCCATGTCACTTTCACATGCAATAGCAATAGTATGCTTAAGTTTACGTACCACTGCTGTAAAGCTTTAATTCTTGTCTCATAGGCTAAATGTCAAGCCCATGAAATGGAGACAAAACACTCCATTAGACGCTTGTAAGATCAGTTCTAAGGTAGCATAGTACATAACGCCACATATAATGTTCCAGGGAGGAAGGGACAGGAGGGTGGGGTGGGCCCAAGTCATTATCCATCGTGTTCCAGAAAGATACTGGATCGCAGACGTATGCTGGAGCTCCGCGAAGGAAAGATCCGGAAAGATAACAGTCCACCATCTCCGTCCTCTGGGGTGAAGGGGCCCAGTAATGTCAGCTGGGGGGTAAAGGCCAGCCTCTGACTCGTGTGAAGAGGCGAGCGTGCGGTGTGGTGGTGAGGGCTGGTGAAGGTGGTGGTTGTGGTGGTGGTGGTGGTGGTGGTAGTGGTGGTCATGGCGAAGTAGAGGAAGAGCCAAACATCCACCATGGCGGAGCCGACCCCGTGCTGTTGGTGGTTGTTGTTGCTGCTGTGGTGGAATTGGTGGTAATAGGGGTGGTTGTATTAGTAGTAGTTGTGGTGGTGGTGGTGGCAGTGGCTAAAGACACTCCCCTAGTGAAAGAGGGTCCACCACCAGGCCAGTTTCCACAGGCTAAACATCACGACTATACTGCCCGAGGCTCATCTGGGAATAGACAAGATAAAAACAGACGTTAGTACACCTCGGCCACACCAGAGGGCCACAACACAACCCTCACACGCCTCGCTAACTACCAAACACAGATCTTCTTCTCTCTTAAAACATTTTTTTTATACAAGGAATGCACTTATAGAGCACAAATAAAACTGAAAATATATAAAACTTAAATGATGATAAAGTAAAAGTATTTAAAGTTCTCGAGGAGAACTTAGCAAGAAGTATTTATCACAATGACATGAGGAAACTTCTACAATCAGTATTGCAACACAAATTAAGGAACAATCGAATACAAAGCATTTCATTACATTCAAACAGTGACAATCACTCGATCAGGAAGTCCTACATTCCCCCTTCCCCCTTAAAAAAAACACAGCCTCAAAACATAGAAACACTCACAGATGTTGGCAACCCCCATTGGAAACTATCCCAAATGTTGACAACTTCGTACGGAATGATATCACAGATGTTGGCAGCCTCGTAATGAACGATCACAGGTGTTGTCAACCTCGCAAGGAATGATATCACAGATGTTGGCAACCTTATCCACACGTGAGGAGAAAATGAATGTTGTGGACAAATGTGTACAGTGAATGTTTTCGATATCCAAGTTGACACGATAACCAACGTGCAACGTCAAGACGTCAGGTCCTCAGCGTTAAGTTGACTTTTGTAACTTTGTGAAATAAACTTGTAAAAATTACTTGTACAACACCCCAAGACAAGGGATGAGACACTCTAAGTTCTTTTCGCAATGACTTGTTTGTTTCTTTGAGGGAGAAATGATAAAAGTGCCGAGACTGACTGGGAGTTCTTCATTACTTACAAGAACAATTCATGGAGTTCTTCATTACTTACAAGAACAATTCATGGAGTTCTTCATTACTTACAAGAAGAATTCATGGAGTCCTTCATTACAAGAAGAATTCATGGAGTTCTTCATTACTTACAAGAACAATTCATGGAGTTCTTCATTACAAGGACAATTCATGGAGTTCTTCATTACTTACAAGAGCAATTCACGGAGTTCTTCATTACAAGAACAATTCATGGAGTTCTTCATTACTTACAAGAACAATTCATGGAGTTCTTCATTACTTACAAGAACAATTCATGGAGTTCTTCATTACTTACAAGAACAGTTCTAGGAGTTCGGGACAACATAAAAGAACAGTAATGTTTCAATAACATACACAAGTTATTGGCACACAAGCCTTATCTGTAACACGTTACGTTACAGATAACATGTTGCGTGGTGCCACAATTCATCAAACAGAAACGGACTTCGACAAACGTAACTTCATAAACTTGTGTGTTTTTACAAACTCGATATTGTCAATACAAGAAGCAACCCCCCCCCCCTCCCCTGTAAATACAGATTAAATCCAGATTACATAAAGTGCGCAAAACTTACCCTTCATGTTAATGCGATATATTACATTAAACTTACCAAGATCTGCGATATATTGCATTAAACTTACCAAGATCTATTTCTCAGTGGTATCCGTTGGCGTAGGCAGCTATGAGAGGACCCTGAAACATCGTTATGGCGTATTAGCATACTGCAGCATGGTAAATATGAGTCATTAGGAGGAGAAATCGCTGTCAATGTGAGTATATTTGGAAAGAATGAGAGGAGGATAATCACTGGGATATGATGGGACAGAAGAAGCAAGAAACACACCAGCCACTTGAGGCAATGCACCGAGGTGTATGGAGTTAGACCTAGTTCCTCCGGAGATACTGATAAGATAGGAAGATGGTACTCCTGCCTCCTACCACCTCCTCCTCGTCCTACGTGCTCCTGTCGTCCCCTCACCCGTCCAGCAGACGGGTTGGGGTCGAGGAGAGGGTCTACACCTGACCTTTAATATCTGTCTGCGTATTAGGTCGTTGACTTAAAGGTCACAGCCATTATCGTCTTAGGCACGAATACCTATGTTTATTCCTGCTGACTCCCACACTCATTTATTTATATATATATATATATAATATGTATATAAATGATATCTCGTTTGAAAATGTTACGGACCTGTTCACATTCCCCATGGGCTCACCGTAGCCCGTGCTACTTGGAACTTTGTTCCAGGTAGCGAATCTTTAACAACAACATGTTCACATTTGGGTGTATACGAGGATGGAACACGAGCACGCTTGCTCTTGGGAAATACCAATAAACATCGAACACGTTTGAGACATTATATAAAATCAGCTGATGCCATATTGACCTAAAATCCTGACCAAGACTACTTGCCATTGAAATCTTCGTGCTGTCTTCTGTTTTAATAGGAATTAGACAACACCCATTAACGATCCAATTTCAACTTGTTTCTCAAGCGGGAGTCTGTTAATAGGCTCTAGTTTGATCCTTCGTCCCGTTTATTACTATTTAATCAAACCGTCGCTTCGTAATTGGTTTTGTTTTTAATCGGTTTCTATTTTTTTTCCCCTTGTCGACCATCAGTTTAGTCTGTTTAAGGTTAATACAATTTCCCTTAATCGGATTAAGTCCGAACGGAAAGCTCTTTCGTTCTCTGGTACATGTGTGTGTGTGATGAAGGGGGGGGGGGGGTAGTGGGTAGATGTGGGGGGGGACTTGTTAGGGAATGAGCGGGAGTGGTTGATGTGGGAGCGGTAGATTGGGGGAATGGGGGTTGAAGAGGAGAAAGGGGTTGGTGGGGGAAGGGGATAAATGGAGGGAAGTTGAGGGAGAGAAGGGGTTGAAGGGGAAAGGATTTAAGGTGGGGTTTAGTGGGGAAATGAGTTTAATGGAGACGGGTAGATTTGGGGTGTTGGATGGGTTGATAGGGAGGGTGTAGATGGGGGGGGGGAGGTGTTGAGGGGGTAGAACGGGGCTTCGTGGGGAAATGGGTAAAATGAAAGGAACGGTAGTGTGTGTGATGGAGCGGGGGAAGGCGTGTAGTTGCTTACCTCTGGGAAAACACATGCTTCAAATACCCTAAAAAAAAAAAATTGGTGTTTAAGGCAAGCTTAAAAACACAACTGTTTCATACACCACAGATAAAAGAGGTAATACAAATATACAGCGAAAAAAAAGAGCATTCGGATATTTTGTATTAACTTATAATCCGACTATTATTCCCCGCCGTTCTCTTTACTATACTGGTAACCCAAAAAATTAAAACCATTACAAATTCTAACGTATCTAATTCTAAAGTATCTAAATCTAAATTCTAAAGATCACGCGACAACACCAAAAAACTCGAGTTAATCTAAATTTACAATCGGGCTAAAAACGACATCATTACCGACTAGCAAGTCTTTCCTCCCCAACATTTAGCTCACTTAACCAACTTTTAAGCCAAGGGTCCCTCAGCACTCTCTGACTTATGAATATCAAATCCCCCAAGTAAGAGATTAGCAGAACAGGCCGCGGGATAGAACGAGAGGGATGGAAACTGGAGGAAGAATGAGAACGAGATGAGGAGGAAGAGGTAGAGGATGCTGAGAAGGAAGGAAGGAAGGAAGGAAGGAGGAGAGGCGACATATACCTTGAAAAATATTTGCTAACTACGTCATTCACACAGATAGAGGTTCGATTGATTATTTCAAGCGTATGTTACTCATCATTCTCAGCCTCATGTCCATCCTGTCTCTCCTCTTCCACACAGACGCGTGTATTTCGAGCTGAGGCGAAGTACCTTGCCTGTGAGGGTAAGCTGCACCAAGTCACCCTTCAGGAGATATTATACGATGTCAAGTTATACCTTTAATATACTCCTTAGGTGGTAGAGAAATAGGCAGAGAAGGGACGAAATAAACCACGTGAGGATTAAATGTGTATTCACCTAGTTGTGCTTGCGGGGGTTGAGCGGCCCGCCTCTCAACTGTCATTCAACTGTTTCTACTACTATTTTTTTTCTCACACCACACACACACACACACACACACCAGGAAGCAGCCTGTGACAACTGACTAACTCCCAGGTATCTATTTACTGCTAGGTAACAGGAGCATCAGGATGAAAGGAACTCTGCCCATTGTTTCTCGCCGGTGCCGGGAATCGAACCCGGGACCACAGGATCACACGTCCAGCGTGCTGTCCAGTCAGCCAGCGTGCTGTGTGCGTGTGTGTGTGTGTGTGTGTGTGTGTGTGTGTGTGTGTGTGTGTGTGTGTGTGTGTGTGATGTAGCCATTTACGAAAATGGTTATGCTTAGTAATCCACTAGGATTTTACCCATCTTCCACTCGTCCATCCATCAACTGTGCTCTATTCTTTATCATCCATTAATCAACTACGTCTAGGGAACCTGTTGTCCTTTTGTCGTAAAGCACGAGCGGTACACAGGATAGAGAAGCACATGTAGAGGTCCAACACATAACAGAGCGTGGCTAGAGGGGCTCTAACGTCCCCCTGGTAAAGTGTAAACACACAAAGAAAGTATTCAAAGAATAATTAACAAAAACGTGGATGAGAGAGAGAGAGAGACAATGTAAGATAACTGAGGGAAGGAGAGATGGAGAGGCGATGAAGCAAATGGAAAAAAAAAATATAGCATTAAACACAAACTTGAAGATATTTTCTTATTTATATTCTCAAGAACTTACAAAATAATTAAATTAATTTGTCAAATATACATTCCCACGACACTGATTTATTGTTTTTAAATTACGAAAGGAACATAATAAAAATATATATATGTGAAGTACATTACCCTGTTGACAGCCACGGGGAAGGAGGAAGGCTGTGGGGAGGCGGCCTGAACGTATCCGACGGCGGTGTCTCCTGGGGCAGCGGAGAACACGTCCATGGGCCCTGGGGAGCCTGCGGGCCCAAAGCCCCTACTGGTGGCCGTGGCGGGGGACGTAGGGGGTCCATACCCCTGGGGGAAACTGTTCATCACTGTCAGGGGCGGGGGGAGGGAAGAGGAACGTGTGTGAATAGATAATTATCTGGCTAATTCCTCTTGTGCTTTAGTATAGCAGTCAGGGAGGGAGAAAAGTCTTATTATGCCAGTATATAGTTGCTTCTGGAGTCTTATTGTCGGTTGGTGGATACTTATAGCTTGTCTGTCACTCGTGGGGGTCGGTGGCTCCAGTCTCCTAGTGCCCAGGCGAATGTAACATAATTATAAAATGAATAACTTTACCTATGGAGGGAATAACTTCACCTATAGAGTGAATAACTTCATCTATGGGGAGAATAACTTCACCTATGGGGAGAATAACTTCACCTATGGAGTGAATAACCTCACCTATGGAGTGAATAACTTCATAGGTGAGGTTATTCACTCCATAGGTGAGGTTATTCACTCCATAGGTGAAGTCATTCTCCCCATAGGTGGAGTGAATAACCTCACCTATGGAGTGAATAACTTCACCTATGGGGATAATAACCTCACCTATGGAGTGAATAACTGTACCCCATGGAGTGAATAATGCATGTCCCCAGGCGGTCAGTAACAAACACTGTGGCCATGGAGCTGGGGGCCATCCTTCAAAAGCACATATATAGGTTATAGAAAAATAGATCGATAGTCATTGATCATCATTGATAGTCACTGAGACAGCCGGTGGCTGAAAAAGCGGGTTCAGAGAGCTAAAGCTCGAACCTGTATGTAAAAATCAGTGTACACCAGTGTTGTTGAGTTACACGAAGGTCACACTCACGAAGGTCACACTCACGAAGGTCACACTCACCAAGGTCACACTCACCAAGGTCACACTCACCAAGGTCACACTTAGTCGAGTTCAATTCATCACACCAGCACCAGATATCTGTGAAGGCTCTGCCTGAGAGAAAAACAATTCCCACCAGCAGTAGCAAGATGTATATATAGTCTCAGAAAACTCGCCCGAGATAACAGATATATACCATATATATACACCGAACGTAGGTGTATATGCACTGAGTTTAGTCCTGGACAATGTTCAGGACTAAAGTATACTTGCAAGTTGGTTAGCAGGCTGGTGCGGTGGCCTTAACCCATCCAAGGGTTGGTTGGCAAGCCTCAAGTCCGACACCACCAGAGAAAACATGACATCTCCAAAGACATAAACAGCGTCATTACGTCAACAAACCTAGTTAACGATGACCAAACCACACATAGAAGATGAGGAGACGACGACGTTTCGGTCCGTCTTGGATCATCATCAAATCGATTGACAGTCGACTTGATAATGGTCCAGGAGGAAACGTCGTGGTCTCTTCATCTTGTGTTGTGTGGTCTGGTCATCATATCTTCAGCCTCGTTATTTCGACTCATCGTCTACAAACTTAGTTAACTTAACCGGCTGTTGTGATGAGGTTAACTCATCTGTGGGACAGGTGAGTGAAACTGCCATTACGGCATTACCGCTCATTACGGACCGAATCCTCATAATTCAGTTAACTACCTTCCATCCGGTTTCACTCATTTCTAAACACGTCTTGACTCCCATTTGTTACTAATTGTTGTTAACCAACTCCTCGCTCAAGAACCTTCCTGCTCAACCCCCTCCCCCCCCCCACACACACCCATTAGACAGTGATGTGATGGAGACAGACTCCATACACAGCTTCAAATGTAGATATGCAAGAGCCCAAGCCCAATAGGCTCAGGAATCTGTAAAGCAGTCAACTGATGGTTGAGAGGCGGGATCAGTGAGCCGAAGCTCGACCCCCCGTAAGCCGACTTAGGTGAGTACATTTAAGTGAATACAGTTCTATACAAGCGTCCCAACATAGCGGAATAAATATTTGGTAATTATCCAACACGTCCCCTCGAATAGTACATCGTATTTTGACGTACAACTCCCGTGAGGCCAAAATCCGATGGACTTCAAGTCATAACCGCTCACAAAATTTACGTGATCGGTTATTTTTATTATTTTTATTCGAACCTAACCTGACAGAGGTTAGGTTCGGTTCATTCCCCTGTCCATTGTGTGGCCAGGGGGAATGTACCGAGGCAGGCCACACACCAGGACGTTGGCCACTCCCCGGATATGAACCGCACAGAAAGCCAAACCCCGAGAAGCCAGCAGACGAGTCATTCCTACTAATTTCAGCTGTTTTATAATTTTGTACAGTTTAGTACATCAGTTTAGTGACGTTGTGAACGCTCGAGAAGACATGCTGAATTGTCAACACCTACAGAGTGCCAACAGTACAGGCACTGACAAAGAGAGGTGGAAAAGACAGCCAGGAAGAGAGGCAGAAGAGGGTTGCGGGAAGCTCGTATGAGCATGTTTGTGGTGAGAATGAGCCTTATGTTGCCGGTGCTGTTACTGATGGGGGGCGGGGGGAGGATGTTCATGGGTGGCCAGATAGTGTGATATAAGATCAACACTATAGGTCACAGGACACAGCCCTGGAGCACTCCCCTTGTAACAATTTCCCCACAATGACGTTTCTCCAGTTCCACTTAAGTGTCATCATGCCCTGAGCCAGTTTCAGAGGATCCCCTTCATTCCACAAGGCTCTACCTTCCTCTAAACTTCCGCACTGAATCAAGTCTAACTGATGTCTAGGGTAATATCGTATTCTTTACCAATGACAATTGCTTCAAATGTGCACTTCAAAAGAATTTATTTGACAAATGGTCGTTCTTATGTAAAGTCAAAGTTGAGTCTTAATATTCACTCTTGTCAAGGTGGCATCAATGACACCTGGAGGTGTCGTCTCAAGTAATCACCCCCACAAATGTGTTGTTTATGACAATGGTAACAGTGAAAATTTGTTGTTGATAATGGTGGTTGTGTTGCTGGTGATGATTGTGGTTATCGACGAGACACCACTGGTGACAGTGATGAGATTGAAAAGTGTTTTTGTAAAACATACGACGTGAATATGAACCACCTGACCACGCTATTCATTCATACCTACCTACCTCCCATTCCATGCCTACCTCCCTCCCCCCCCTCTCTCTCTCACCCCTCACCGTATCTCCCCTCCCTCTCTCCTACCCTCCCTTCCTCTCTCTCTCTCAACCACAGTACCAATATATTTCCTTTCACTCTTCTCTCTCCCTGCACCCCATCCTGGCCAGCATATCTCACTTCCCCTTCCAAAAGTCACTATAAATACATTTGTTCAGAGTATACTCGTCGCGGCTAACAACCACTACGCACTACTCCCACATATCTATGAATATACCACTTCCCCCTTCTCGAACCAGTAGTTATATCTGACCAAGAGTACAAGCAGTATAATCTCACCATTAGTAGCTGGTCATTTAGTACAACTTTTGAACACACAACTCTCTCAAACAAGTATATTTCTCAGAGTAAATGAACACTACTTTCCCAAGAGCGTATAACCTCTTCCAAACGAGTATATACTTCATCCAAAAAGAATTTATACCACCCTTAGCCATAGCTCTGTTACCCACAAGCTCATCACCGCCCCCCCATCACCACTCGCCCACCACCACTCGCCCACCACCACCACTCGCCCACCACCACCCCTCGCCACCGCCACCGCCACTCGCCAACACACATACGGTGTAGGGCCATAACTCTTCTCCTCTCCCTTAAAACCTAAATCGTTGTCAGAATTTTTAAGTTGCATCGACAGTGGACCGCTGGTGCAGATCAGCCGCCGATAGAAGCAAGTGAATTGGATTGCGTCGATAAATTGGTGAGGAGTTATTTCACGGCCGCCCAATCCTTGTCTAGCGAGGGCCAACTATTCTAGAGCCACTGTGAGGGAGCGAGAGGAAAAGACAGGGATAGAGAGAGAGAGAGAGAGAGAGAGAGAGAGAGAGAGAGTGAATCAGGATGCAGAGTCTTCCAGATCACAATACGCATACGCTGACGGGCATCAATGTTTATTTTACCTGAACTGAGTTTCGAGAGTTGTTCTATTCTCCAAGCCCGGTGTTAAGGCAGGCTTGTGATAAGTTGATCTGAAAAGCTGCTACTTGATCCCGCCCGCAGACCTGCATATCCATTACACACACGCACGCACGCACACACGCACACGCGCACACACACACGCGCGCACGCACACACACACACACGCGCACGCACACACGCATGGGGATGAAGATGGAACTTGCTGAAGCTGGACAAGACTAAGGCTGTAGGACGAAACAAGGACCAAAAGCCTTTTAATGGTCTCTTAAAACATGGTACTTGAAAGTGAACTACCAGAAAGTTTGAAGACAGCCATTGTAGTGATGATACAAAAAAAGGGGAAACATCTGGAGACAAAGGACTGTATAATACACCGCCAGTATTGACGCGGGAATAATATGATAGAGTTGCTTTTAGCAAAGTTGTAAGCACGTCAATCAAGACTCCAATATTAAAAAACTGGTTCCCACTCGGCTTTCCATTAATTTCGTCCTCATATGTCCAACCAGCAGTTCTCTTTAGAAACCTCGGTCGTTTTCAGCTGTTTTATAATTATAAGATGAACACTTAATGCAAGCCACAGTTCAGTTTGAGATACGCTTGTGAGTACAAACACACACATGAGAGCAAGCACGCACACATACACGTGCGCGGACGCACATTAATGCTTCGTAGTTCAGAGCAAAAATGGTGGCGAGCACCTAATGATAAAACCACTTGAGCACGAAGCAACTTTTAACAAAACTAATTATAAGAACGTCATATTACGTGAGGTCATTATCAGAAGACACAAAGCCATTACAACTATAAATCACTTGTAAGGGTTATGAAGATATTTATGATAGGAAATTCATATTGATTTCCACAAGGCACCAGCTTGAAGTTAGTGATACTCTGAAACCCCCGAGGCCTAAGCTTAAGAGAAAAAGAGTCAAACTCTGCTAGGGGGAACTCTGCTAGGGGGAACTCTGCTAGGGGGAACTCTGCTAGGGGGAACTCTGCTAGGGGGAAAAAACAAGAGGAACTGTAAGATATGGATCATTACCTGTAGTCCTGAGCATGGGGGAAGAGTTGATGTGGTCGGCGCGCGTGTGGGGCGCGCCGGGACCAGTAGCTGCCGTCACCTGGATTGACTGCTGACCTCGCTGATCGGCTCCTGAGCCACTCATGCTGACAGCGGCCAGGGCCCCGGAGTCGTAGTACGTCCCGGCAGCTGCCAGACGCTCAGCCTGCAGGTGGTAATGTAACATATCCTCTGTCACATCCCCCTGAAAGTGTGGATCGAGGATCTAAGAGGATTTTTACCTACCCATTTGCTCTACTGTGTTCACGGCATAGGTAAAAGGTACACACTGTACAGGTGGCGTGTGCGGGCGTGTTGGTTAGTCTTACCGTGAGCGTAGGGGTGATGGGCGCGGTTGGGGTGAGGGTAGGGGTGGCGACAGCGCCGGAATCGTAGTATGCTGTGGCTTTGAACCCGTCTGCAGGCGTGGGCGTCTGAGGGGACACGCCCGTGATGGAAGCACCAGTGGCTGAGGGGAAGTACCCACATCCGGCCGGGAACCCTGAGAACGAGTACGGGATAGCAGGCGTCACTGGAGGCTATGGTGAGGAGGCTGGGGTCACGGAGCTAAGGTCAAAACATACCGATAACAAAAAAGTCTCACTTCACACAAAGGTGAGACGGGGCAAAAAAATAAAAGATTCATTAAAAGTTTTGAACATCAAACCGGCCGGTTACTGATCAAAGTATTTCAGTTAGTGTGAAAATCCAGGAAAAATAGGTTGCAAAACTTGAGAAAACGACTCCCGACCAGAGTATTACAACAAGGGCATTTTAGTGACAAAAGTGTTAAGATATGTTCTGTATTAGTGAAGCATTGAAGAACTTCGTTGCAATCACCCTTAAAATAGAAAATGCTCTAAAAACCTCTATTTTCTCGGGTCAGGAACATGCCAGCCCAAAACGAGAGGTTACTAAAGCAAACTATTCGATTCGCACTAGAAAATCGTTCTAGGAAAACTAGAAAAATGGTCTAAAAACAGTCTATTCTAAAAGACGTCCGCTAAGAACCTGGAAGAGGAAACAGTTAGTTTTCTATATAGACACAGTGAGTATTCTAGTATTGCATAGTCGTCTAGTAATCTAGTCATCTGTTATCATATTCGCAGATCATGACAGCATTTTGACTAACAGTACATTCAGCTAGATTAGTAGTGATAGTTGCTAGCTATTTGAGACTAAACATTTTGTTAATATCAGAGAGAGATGAAGGGCGATCGCCGGACATGGCTAGATTCCTCTATAGATTCTAGATCCTATGTAGATACTAAGAACTATAGACACTATGATCTAGAAGAAGTGTTTTCTAGCAGAGTTCTTCTCTCTTCATTCCACGTTCTAGAAGGTCTCTTGGGCGACCTCTATTCCCAGATCATTCGTTCTATAGTATCTTCTAAGAGTTCACCTAGAATGTATCACTCTAAGGAAAATGTTGGAATAAGTAGCTAATTTCTATCCTGGTCACAATACAGCACACAAGAGGTGGACCAGGGAGACAGGAGGATGGGCACCGATGACTCTCGTACTTACTTCGCTATTCCAAAACGTCTTCGTTCCATCTTGAGTCAATGCATTCATTTTAGCTATATATATATATATTTTTTTTTTATCAAAGCCATAATACCCCCTTTTATTTGTATAACCTCGTAGTCAAAAATAGGATAAACCAAATTTGTTTTATTCTCTACAGAGGAGCTAGGCTAAGAATGAAATGAAAAGGAAATAAATTGGGTTTATCTAGTGATGACAAGAGGGGAAAAATCATATCTTCCTGATGGTCTACTTTATCACTTGGTTCTGAACAAACAATAAATGTCATCTAGCTAGAGAAACCTACAGACTTGGGAATACTCTTCTATTACACATTTGCAATGAAAAAAAGCAAAAAAGCTACATGATCTACATTCAAATTGGTTTTATTTTCCATAATTTATATATATATATATATATATATATATATATATTTATTATTTTAGGGGGTATTACGTGCATGAACCCTTAGCATGGTAACTGTTGACCTAGAGACTCCAACAGCAAAAAGCTGCTAAATTACTGAACATTTCATAGAAAAAAGTACTCAAATTAAGAATGAGTGGGATCCATGACCTCAGTGTCACTACTCTCCCTAGGCCGAAGCTTGTATTAAAAACAAACAGAGATCTGAAAGTTATGTAAACATTCGCTAAAACGAAGGTTAGTTGTTCTTACCGGGTGTGAGAACCGGGACGGCGCGAATATGGGGGAGCGTATTGGAGGTTAGGGCTTTGCTTGGGTTCTCATTTCTGAGCGGTATGGCGGCAGTCAGCCCTATAACCACAGAAAACGTGAAGTGGTCAATGGCGGTCATGCCATTTTTAAGGGGAATCTTCTCTAGCTCGTGTGATCTTACCGTCTTATTTACTCGTCTACAGCGGGGGAATGTGTACGGAGTGGGAGGAAATGGTAGGAGCTTGTTATTGGTTTTGAACCCCCCTTTGTATCCAGCAAGTTGGGTACGGGATTAATGTACCTCTTGTGAGTCGCTCGACCAGCATGAGACAGCGGTCGAGGAAACTTAACAAAAGAATCCACTATCTCTTCAATTTTTAGATGGAGATGAAACACTTCTTTAAGCTCTTATAAATTCAATGATAACCAAGAAATAAACTATTCAACTTACTTTATTGAAGACGTCATCATTGCCACGATATAATCTTAGCAGAGTAGAGTTTATAAGACAATAAGATCTTGGCTAATATTATAAGAACATTCAGTAGTACCTAAGTCCAAATTCCCATTTCAAAAGAGGTAATTTTTCAAAGGACTTTTTCTTTTGAAAAATATACCTCAGAGCTAGACCTTCTATGAGGACAGCTGAGAATATCACATTATGGCAACACACAGGAATACAATAGCCATCGTTATCGTACTCCGCAACACATAATGGACACCCCAGCATCGTACAGAAAAGGCTAAGAATTATCGTGCCAGAAAATGTATAATTCCACAATATGGTAATATAGTGGGACAAAAAAGGGGGGAGGGGGGGAGCTACAGTACAGCCTTAAGTAACGGCCTCTATTATAAATGGCAAAAAGCAGAGTTAAGGGAGTAGGAAGTGGCACCTTAGGACTAGTGCCATCGTGAGGAAGAGCGGCTAGGACTCGACGAAACACCTGTCTGCTCTCAACATCTGTACCTCTTCTCACCATCATGTCGGCTTAAATTCGGTATTAAGTAAACAATTTACAAGCTACTAAGTACAAACAGAATGTCCATAACCTTGGGTTCAAGACCTCGTAGAACTTTGGAGCTTGTAAACTGTTTACTAAAATATATATATTAGGCGGCCATGATGGCGGTACCGATGTCTTAAGTGGACACGTAGTTCCTTCGTGAATCTTGGCTCACAGCAGACAACGCTCACGTTACGCACTGACCCTTCAGTTGGGCGCTACAAGAATTATTAAAATCTAGGTTCGCGCCTACTCCTATTTCACCGCCAAAGTTGCTGCGCCTAGAGACACACACAGTAACACTAGATATACCAGAAATGTTCTAAGTTGATCTAGTTTGACTAAGAGTCTAAAACATTGGGTCAACCTTTACACATGCCTCAGATATCATGCAAATCAGCTTCCTCTTATCTAGAAACACTCTAGAATGAAGTAATTGGCGATAGACTAGAAGGAAATAGAAGTTTAAAAATTTTCACAATTATATTTATTTTACATACATACATAAATCAATTTTTTTTTA